TATGAATAACTCATCCTGCTGAGCAGATAACTGAGCAGAACTGTATGTACATGATAAACACCAATTCACTGAGCCTGCTACACATATGTAGTGTGGGTGTTATGGATCAGGTGTGGAGTGATAGATCATTTTATGACAAATGATACTCCCAATCATTTTTTCCTGCCCACTTGGGGAAGTTGATTAATGTTTGCAGTGGTATCAAACAAGAATACACTCTTGTTTTTTAAAACTCACGATTCCTTTGAATACAAGGGAATCCAAACTTGGAGCCCCCAAATCAAAACAAATTCAATAGAGGACAAAATCAAAACATCATTTCGTGTGTGCAAAGTTCAAAGTTCCAAAGATCTCCTATTCCGAAGCAATCACCATGTAAATATCCTTGTAGCACGTTGACGTGCACACACGAATAACTTTCCTTAGACCCTGTAACAACCCATCAAAGAGGTGCCACAACAAGCACATCTTCCCCTTATCACCTGGGAGGTTGAAAGTCAGTTGACCCCTGCTGACAACAAAGGATTCTGCAAATCCTTTGAACAAATCACAAAGCACAAAGGGTGCTCAACAAAAATCTCAGTCTAAATTTGACCAAAAGACTTGGAGTTTTATTTCAAAACTCTCCATGTGTGCACGTCGACGTGCCACACGGATATTTACATGGTGAATTGTACAAAATTGATTGGTCTAATGACAACACGTAGATGAATCCAACAAAGTATTTGTTTTTAAGGGTGGAGAATTTACTTGTTTATTCAGGTTATTGGGAGTTAATTAAAAAACAAAGGTTGATGGTTATCAAAAAGAAACAAGTCATCAAAATCAATCCGAAAATGAAACAAAGAGTTCATGGAATCAAACCACCAAAGTACAGGCTCAGACAATCTGGCTTGGTTAAAATGAAAATCAAGACTAATTAAGAGAAATGTGAATTGAATCGATCCCAGTAGTGGGAAGCCGTGTAACCTCTGTTCACGATGAGAGGCTGCAGCAATGAGCGACTCATCACTTGCCCAGCCAGTCACAAAAGATATTCAGATTTGTTCTCTTGATACCTCCAGACATCTTCTCTTTGGAGACTTTTTTCATGCAATTGAAAGCTTTCTCAATCGGATTGAGATAGGGCAAATATGCCGGAAGGTAAATGAGTTCTGCACCTGCATCACGACACATTGGTTCTATCATTCCACCATGATGAATCTTTGCGTTGTCCATGACTAAGACCGAGTTAGGTCCGGGGAAACGGTTCATTACAGGGAGCTAGATATCCACAAAGTCTATATGGACAGGTTTGTCAATATATCATGAAATAAAATGAGATTTGAACATCACTCACCAGATTCTGTCTCAGAAAGAGCTCAACATGTATTCTTTCCACTGGCCCTTTATGCACCACTCCAGCAATCATTCCCTGCTCAGACACGGCAGGGAGAATGGTCCAATGATCTTTCTTGTTGTATTGAACTTGACGAGGAGTGCAAGTACCGGTTGGAGCTCAGCTACGCCAGCGCATTGCATCACAACTATACTACACCAGACTTGTCTGGAACAGCAG